CATTAGCACCTCTAGAAATATATTTACTGAGAAAAATGGTGACGTGTTCAATACTTATTTTACCCTCTGTATATATAACAATTTGAATGAAGTTGGAGTCAAGTTTTGACTAAAAGCAGAGAGAATTGTATAATTAGACAGGAAATTGTCAGCTGTGCGTGTTGTTTACTGTTTCTCAGACTCACAGTTGAACATAGTTCACCGACACTGCAGAGGAAAAGGATGGGAAGTTTAATTCATGCTCTGAGTCTGACGATCTGGTCGAGAAGTTTCTCTTCTGCACAGTTGCTTCCTGTTTTTTTTTTATCATGTTGTTTTGTTTTTACCAGCTGGTCTGACCTGAACTCACAAACTGAAGCTGCATTTTTCACAAACACCTGATAAGAATCTGATAAACCTTTTGAGCTAAAAAAAAAAAAAAAAAAAAAACTTGGTGACATTAAAAAAAGGAAAAAAAGAGTTTTCAGGAGTAAACTCAGCTGACAGATATTTGTGTTTTATGAAAGGTTTAAGAGTGTGTTTACCTCAGAAATAGTCCAGTGAACTCAAACTACTGTAGCTAACAAAGAGAAGTCGGTGTAGGTGTTAACCAGTGAAGCGATGTAATGTTATGTTGTTGACGGTGGCCCCTTCATTTCCCCTTTCTACAATACAATCGTACTATTGTGGTTTTTGCTGCACTTCCATGATTGTGGTGACATTGTTCACTTGCTGTCAGGCTGACTTAGAACTCATCTCATTATCAAACAAAATTTTATGCATAATATTTCTGTAAAAACTGCAAATAGCTCTCCACCTTTTGTGCCAGAGATTTTAGATTAAGTTGATCTTATGTTAAGAAATTGAGTTGGTGCCATTTTGACCAAACTTTTAAAAGATATCATTTTGCTTTATCTCATTCAACATTAGATATGTGTTGTCAATGACACTCAGCCACTACCTTTTCAAAATTTGAGCTTTATATAAATGAAACTGACTGAATTACAGCAGTCTTGGCTAATATTGATTAGCCTTGRCAGCCATTTTGAATTGAATTGACTCCRAAGGGAGTGAGAATGTGTTAGACCGTCAAATGATTAGTTTCTGAAAGTTTCCTTAAAAATCACTTGATAAGCATTTTGCTAACAGACAAACAGGGTTGATTCTCACGGTCAGTGCTACAGTTTAAAGTAAATATCTTTCACAATGACTAGAAATTGGAGTGTATTTTGTGACTGAGTGTCAGCTACTACCCCAGTAGATTTTAGCACAATATCTGAAAAATTGACTGAATTTTAGCCTTTTTTGGTGTTTTTTAATGTTGTTGACTGTGGTGTCCTTTCTGAATTAGGTTAACTCCAAATTGTAAACAGTTCTAGTCGTACATCTAATGATTATTTCCTGAACATGTCACTAAAACCTGTCAATTGGTTGATGAGATATTTTGCTAACAGACAGACAGGGTTGACACCAAATGGGTAATGACAACATTTTAAACAAAAACCTTGCTTAATCTGTTAGAGCTCAGGATTTCTCTTGAGAATCAGTCTCAGCTACTGCCCTGCTATATTTCAGGTTAATATCTGTAAAACTAATTTTGTTGTAATTTCTGTGTTTTAAGGTCTGTTTATAAGATGTTTATGAACAGACACATGAACACATGTAAAATATTGATCTCCTCTCTTTACCTTTCAGCAGGCAATATTCTTCATTCTGAATTTGAAAAAGTATTATAATAAATAGACTGGCATTAAAAACCTATGATCACAACATGTTTGTGTCATGACTATCAATCTTTAGACTGCCTCAACCTTTATCTGGCTTACAGGAACGTAAAAGTTTCACAGAGAAGCTGCTGATTTGCTTTGGGTCATGGTGCATTCAGTTTGCAGCAGCAGGAGTGGGGAAAAGCCCAATCTCCAAACCATTTTTGCATGTTTATTTTATTTCTCCTTTTTTTTGATTAATGGGAAAATCTGTCTGGATTTCAGCATGATGATAAAAAAGATGAAAGTATTTGTGAGAAACTGAAAATTTTGTTTCTTTGTGTGATTGAAGTTATCTTTGGAAACGTGACTATTTTTCTTAAATTAAAATGTGTTTTCACCATAACAAGGTGTAAATATTTTTTTCTTGCTTGCTTTTCTTGCTGATTTCATGTCTATGAAATGCATATAAATAAACTTTACTTGCTTACTTATAACAAGCCGAACTAGTTCATTTGAAGGAGACATACATTATTTTAAATCCTCCCTTTTCCACATTTAAATCCTTCAGTTGGGGTTTAAATAAAGTGGGGAAAAAAGTGGAATAAAGTAGTCAGCTTTGGTCTGAATTCCTCCTTATTGTAACTCCACAAGCCCCTCTTTCACCCCTTTTTCACCCCTATAGGCGCAAGAACTTTTTATTTAAAAAATAATTAAAGCTATCAACAAGGCTTGTCCATCCAGCCAGTTGAAACCAGAAGCAGAGAATGACAACAACCCTGTTGTGGACCAAGTAAGTCCAGACCTTATATGTCTGTTTTATCAAACAATTAGACGTAATAGTTAAGACGTCATAGAAAAAAAACTGAACAGGCTGAAAATATGACCCAAAAGTAAAATAGCTAAAGATATTTACTCGGCACCAGGAAAGACTAAATTAAACTTTTCACAACAAAACGCATTTAACTGCTAAATAAAGGGGATTTTACATGAAATGTCTCCATTAAAATAAAACTATATTTTAAAACCAGATGAGAAAAAGATCCTTGAGAGAAGCATTTGATCCTGTTATATAGATGATTTATAACAGCAATAACCAGTCCACCTGCCAGTCAGTTAATTGGGTGAATGCCTTTAGGCATTCAACCTATTGCTTTCGTTTTTCTCTAAATTGTACGTTTTTCGGCATCTAACTCGTCCCACAGTTTTTGTCCGATTCGTACAATTCATATATCAAAACGTCCGGCTCATTAATGCCATGCCTGCTATATCTCCGGGGATTTCAGCTACTTATACTTTTTTAGCTATTTCACTTTTTTAGCAGATTTTTTCACCATTGACTTTGAATGGGGCTATGTTTCAACTGCTCTAAAGTCTAAACCCTTCAAATTGATTTTAAATCTTCACGGCTTTTCACATATTTTGCTTTGGTTATGCTTCCTTTAAAT